AGGCCGTCGGCCAAGGGCGGCGCGGGCGCGGGGAAGGCGGCGGGAGGGGGAGGCGCGGCGCGGCGGGCCGCGCGGGCGGTGCTCGCCGCGCTGCTGCGGCGGCAGGCCGTCTTCCTCTTCGCCCCGCTGCTCTACGTCGCCGCGATGCTGCTCTACATGGGCTCCATCTCCCTCGACAGCGTGCCCCGCATCATCTCCCGCCCCGTGCCCGGCTCGCTCTACCGCAGCCCGCAGCTGTACGCCCGCCTGCGCCCCGAAATGGACGCCGACAACGCCACGGACGCGGTGAGTGCCGCGCTTCCCCTTCACCCTGCTCGTCTCTGGCCCGGGCCCGCTGGGCTAATACTTTGCGTTTGCGATCAAAGTGTTTACTGGATTTGGGTGACGAGCGAGTTCTGTCGATGCTCGGATTGTGGTAGCTGCGGCGTTGGGTGCTTGGATCATTGTGCGTGAGCTGACTTTCAGCGTGTCTTCAGACACCGAACCATGTCGTTTTGTGCTTGTGGCCAGTGGTGTGTATACTCGTTTGCTTTATGTGGTGCGTGCTGGTTAGGAGTCTTAGGACAGTTATGGGTTAGTTTTACCTCCAATTGCTGCAGAATTACTACAATACAATTGTGGAAATGTATGTGAGGGTGGATAACAGGGCAAATAAATGGTGTTTCACCAGTTGAAGGTTGAAACATACTTCAGATTCGGTGGGGCGCTAGTATTTTTGTCAACTGGGAGAAGATGTGTATCTTGGTCAGAATCAGATAATTGCGGTTTGACAATTTGTCAGATTAGCTGCCTCAAGCAATAGCATGTGCCGAAATGTTGTAAATATTGCGGCATCACATATTGTTAATTGAACGGAATTATGGAAACTCGATGTGAACTATCCATCCAACAGTCTGCAATTCTGCTGGTCTAAAACAACTGCTTTTAAAAGTTGAATCTTATGAATGTGTGTACACAATGCACATGGTTAGGAGCATCTGGTCGAACATGGCTTTTCATATTATTCAAGTGTATGAAACTTGTGTATACCTGATGGCCTCTCAATTTCTAAGGACTTTTTTTCAGTAGTAGCTCATGTTCATGTTGTATGCTATAAGAGAATTAGTATTTTGTTCTATCTGTCTATGAGATACGTTTTTTTGCTGCATTGTGTTACCTATTTCTGTCTCTTATTTAGTTCACATACATGTGTTACTAGTATTCTCATATTGCTACATTTTTGTAGCTAGCAACTGTATGGCGGCATGCTTACAAAGGTGGTGTTTCGCAACCTTGCATAAGCAATAATACCTATGGTATGTCAATTCAAAACTTCTGAATATTTCTCTGCGTTTCTAATTTCATGTACTGGTATCATTCTAATGATATATGGCTTGATGAAGTTCAACGAAACTTATCTTTGTTTTTCTGCACATTTACAATTGAGCGTTCTCTGATTTGTCGTAAGCACATTTTCTATGTTTGATTGCCCTGGTATGAGTCCTTCAAAAGTTAATAGTTGGAAAACGATATACTCCCTCCATTTCTTTTTAGTCTGCATATAAAATTTGGTCAAAGTCAAACTTTGTAAATGTTTGACTAACTTCATAAGAAAAATTATCAACAATCACAGTATGAAATCAATATTTTTAGATGCATCATGGAATGAATTTTCATATCATATAGCTTTAGTATTGTAGATGTTGATTTTTTTTTACATAAATTTGGTCAAACTTTGTGTAGTTTGACATTGACCAAATCTTATATGCAGACTAAAAAGAAACGGAGGGAGTACTTAATGTATTTGACAATTTGGCCACAGTGTATGCATTGCTCTATTTTGCTATTTTAGTTTATAGCAGATGCCATTTCGCACAAAGCATTTCATATTGAAGGAAGTTCAGATCAATAATTGGTTACTTATGTACTTTGGTAGGTTTGCCCGAACCAAACGGCTACATATATGTGGAGGCCAATGGTGGTTTGAATCAGCAAAGGACATCGGTAGGTACTTTCCATCAGTTGCTCTTTGTGACAATTACCAAAATAAATTTGTATTGTAAAGTTTGTAATGTACAAAGTGTTGCTCACTGATATTTCCTACCATTCTGCAGATATGCAATGCAGTCGCAGTTGCTGGTTTTCTGAACGCAACTCTTGTAATCCCAAATTTTCACTACCACAGCATTTGGAGGGATCCTAGGTCTCTCTCTTTTTGATATGCATCATGTTGATTGTAATCCTTAATGCTGACGCTACTGGGTTTTCATAGGCCGTACCACTATCTGTATATAGTCTTTTAGCACCATGTCTTTTGGTTAGGGTTGACAAAAATGAATTCATGGTTATTGATATCTTTTTCTGAACAACGACAGTTGCACTGTACTTAACTTCTACCATTCTCTACAATATAAAAGACTTCACAAACGATGACATGTATATCATGTTAACATTTTATTGCGGTAGATTCACACTAGAGAGCTCAGTTTGTTAGCTATGAACTGTTATCCTTGTTTTTGTTTGCTGTAGTGCCATGCTATGGTCAATGGATTCAAACATCAATATAACTACACAAATACATACTTAGTCATTTAGCTTTAGTTCACATACATGTGTCACTTATTTAGCACACATACATGTGTCACTTAATATACTATTGTACACGATAGCATGTTTCCATTTTATAAATTTGTGATGGCATGTGTTTCATGCATGGGCCTTTTGTTAGCTATGCAGAACTTCAAGGTTCTGGCAATTCTGAAAAATAATGTGCTGTTCATAAAATGTAAATCTCAGGGGTGTGTTTGGATGAGGGGATTTCTCGGAACTTATTGTTCTTAGGGCAACTTTAATATGAACAAATCCTATTAATTTTGCCTAGAATTGCCAAGGTTTGATACTAATATTTATTTTTTGATACAGCAAATTCAATGATATCTATGACCAGGACCACTTTGTCCAACGTTTGAAAAATGATGTTCGAGTGGTTGACAAGGTGCCTGGATTCATAATGGAGCGGTTTAGTAACAATTTGAGTAATGTTTATAATTTCAAGATAAAGGCTTGGTCTCCTATTCAATACTACAAAGATGTTGTTCTTCCGAAGTTGATTGAAGAAAGGTGAGTTAAAGCCAATTTGGTTATTGCAGCTCCGAAGAAAACGTTCTTCTGATATTATTGTGTTTAACTGTTATATGACCATTTAACGCTATTGTCTGCGAATAAATTATAGGCTCATAAGGATATCACCTTTTGCAAATCGGCTTTCAGTTGATGCTCCGCCTGCTGTTCAGCGACTGAGATGCCTGGCTAACTTTGAAGCCTTAAAGTTTTCTAAACCAATCACTGCTTTATCTGACACTTTAATTTCTCGAATGAGAGAAAAAAGTGTGGAAAACAACGGGAAATATGTAGCAGTGCATCTCCGTTTTGAAGAGGTTGGCCTTCTACTTTAAAAGACTGTTTCTTCATTCTTCTGTCTGAATTTCATTTGTGAAATATCGGCAGGCACATGGTTACCAGACGAGAACTGTCATCCAATTCGCAAAAAAAAAAACAAAAACTGTCATCCATTGTTTTTGTCTTTGCAGGATATGGTTGCGTTCTCTTGCTGTGTGTTTGACGGTGGTGATGAGGAAAAAAAGGAATTGGATGAGGCCAGGGAAAGAGGCTGGCGTGGAAAATTTACAAGGCCCGGACGTGTAATAAGGCCTGGAGCAATAAGGATGAATGGGAAATGCCCACTTACACCTTTGGAGGTATGCTAGTATGTAATGTTGGTGTTACTGCTTCAAAAGATGCTTCAGAAATTTCATTATGAAGTGAATACAAGCTATATTTCCAGCAAATCTAGTCTGATTCCAGCAGCAGTTGTTGCCGATTCTTTTTGTTACAGTCATTTACATGTCCATGCTGTATGTTGTTTAGGTTGGGTTAATGCTTCGTGGAATGGGTTTCAGCAATAAGACTTCAATCTATTTGGCTTCTGGGAGAATATATAAAGCAGAGAAGAACATGGCTCCTCTCCTTGAAATGTTCCCTCTCTTACAGACCAAAGAAACATTGGCATCAGATGAAGAACTTGCTCCGTTCAAGGTTTGTAGGAATTGGAGCTCTAAAGTCTTATTTACTGAACTTTGAAGTATGCTGCTCTAACATAGCGCGATGTTTTCCAGAATTTCTCCTCGAGGATGGCAGCTATTGACTACAGCGTTTGTGTCCATAGTGAGGTTTTCGTGACTACTCAAGGTGGAAATTTTCCTCATTTCCTTCTTGGTCATAGAAGATACTTGTATGGTGGGCATTCGAAGACAATTAAGCCTGATAAAAGAAGATTGGCCATACTCTTTGACAGTCCGCGTATCGGGTATGTTATTGTAGTTCATGGCCAGTAAAAGAATACTGCTTCACTTTGCACGACCTGGATATTCCTATATATCTTTCACTTTTGGAATCATAATTACAGTATTATTTTGTTAAAACTGCACTCCCCTTTTATGCAGATGGAAGTCATTAAAACGCCAGCTGCTTAATATGAGATCGCACAGCGATGCCAAGGGTATTCAAATGAAAAGAGCAAATGAATCTGTATACACATTTCCAAGCCCTGACTGCATGTGCCATCCAAATAAATCAGAACGCCCTAAATCCATCCAGGCTAGATAGCATCCGCCATGACTGGTTTGATTGATCCTGATTCATTTTGGCATCATTGTATAGTGTGATCATTCTTTGCGTGCAGTCTGGTGGTGTGATTTTCCGTCGTCAAGCACCCCCGTTGCAGTGTTGTTCATTCCATGGCCCTCATGTCGACCTTTGTAGAGACATGTTCAGGCTATTTTGATGTAGGCTAATTCTGGGGCTAACAATACACCGATCCTCATCTACAAAAGATGATGTATCTCTTAGGTCTTAACCATCTCTAGGCCTTCTTGGTGTGGTTGTAGACTTGTAGTGTTCCCTTGTACATTGCTAGGCTAGGAAGCAAACACAAATCATAATATATAATTCTTGAAGCGAAGACAGAACGTTCACTTTATTCTAATGCGTCGATGATTTTATTCTAATGTGCCCAGTTTCACTGTAATATCTTTTCTTTGGAGTAATCCAATGTGGGGTAGATTGTATTAGTCTGGAGATTGGCTTTTGTCTGGACAGTTGAAAGAAGGAGAGCACCAGAGACGCCCCCGAATTATTAGCTGGACAGTTGAAAGAAGGAGAGCACCAAAAGGTGAAAATTCTGTCGTTGGCTTTTGTCTCATGTTGGAAACATCATCTGGAGATTGTCTGAGCAATCATCAATCGAGTACACAGGTAAACAAGTGAGGTACCTCATTTTTTTTAAATTTCTTTGCGCTTGTTGAGTGAATGCTCTTATTTTATTATTATGTAGAGGACGTAAGCGGCAGTAATGTAAAGCAGCTTTCATAGTCGAGGCCGGTCACATGCCCGGTTTGGATGTTTTGCAGTAGATGGAGCCTGTAGTCTGCTTGCATCATTACGAGGATACTTTGTGAAAACAAGCTGGTGGGCTGCTCTGCTCTTCCCCTGAAATCTCTGGCGGATTTCTGCTACAGTTAGGCTGCCAACTGCAAGTAAATCAAGGGCTCAACGTCCTGCGCGGTCTGGAAGACGAGACCTCATAAAGAAAAGTTCAGTCGGAAGACGAGACCTCATAAAGAAAAGTTCAGTCCTCTTGCTGCTTTGGTAACATGAAAGTGCAGGGCTTCGCGCTTTCACCTAAACAAAAGTACTGCTACCTCCGTTAGGCCAACTCCACCGTGCGTTCGTTTGGGGTAAAACGGACGAACCAGATGGCCCAGCGCGTAGGTGCAAACGGACTTTTGTCCGTTTTCTGTCCGCTTTCGACCCATCTCCAACCCAAGTTTGCGCCGCTTTTGGGGGAAACTGACAGCACGTGGACGCGCGGGCCGTCTGCGCGTGTCCTCCCTTGGCTCGTCCGCCGGTGGCACAGGGATGCCTTTTTCTATCCTCCCTCCGGTCGCATCCCCTCTACTCTTCTTCACTTTTCCAGACTCTTCCCCTCGCCGCCGCCGTCGCTGGCATTGCAGCTGTGCAGCTCGGACGCGCGCTCGCCTAGCCCCTTCCCCTCGGCGCCCCCGAGCTACCCAACCACGGCCACCTGGTTTGCGCACCCGCCGGCCGAATTTCGGGCGGATACGGTAGGTCTTGAGCTCGCCCGACTGTGGGAGGCCGCGCCACGCCATGGACTGGCCGGGCACCTGGCCGAAAGGCCCTGGCAGGGCCGCAAGGCCACACGTAGGCAGTGGCTCCTCCTCTAGTCGCTCGGATCTGCACCGTTGGTGGTCCGCCGAAAGATACACGAATGGCGGTCGGCTGGGCTCGGTGCTAGCCCAAAAGCTCGTCGGCGCACCGTTGCCACTCGTTAAGTGTGACCACTGCCCAAAAAAGGTCGTGCGCCGCGTGTCTACAACGCCGGAACATCCCGGATGGGTGGTCATCAAGTGCTTAAACGATGTGGTATGTGCTCTTTGTAGCTTCGGTTTGTGCTCTAGATTTGACTAGTTGTGCTAACTTCAAATTTTATTGTGTAGCATGGATGCAAGTTTTGGTATTGGGAAGAAGAGTGCATCGATATATTGATAGATCCCGATTTAGTAGATGTTTGTGCACTTTTAGCTAGCATAGAGGCGGTAGATGAGACAAGTGCACTTGTAGCTAGATTAGAGGCTAGACACGAGACACAGATGGTCCGCTCGTATCTGCGTAAACGAACACAAAACATGGTCCAACACGCGAGAACAAGCAGACATTTCAAATGTCCAATTTCGACCCATTCCCAGCCAAAATTTAGACCGTGTTTGCGTCGAAATGGACAACGTGTGGATGGGCGGTACGCGCGCTCTTGTCCTCCCCTGGCCCGCTTGTCGGGGACACACCGCGCCCACTCCCCCCCATTCCCAAAAACCCTCCTGCGCTCCCTCTCCCCTCCCTCCATGGCCAGCGCCCCGAAGAAACCCGGTGCCCCCACCGCCACCGAGCGCCCCACGAGAAAGAAGAACAACCCGAAGAAACCGCGGTCGGAGCTCACGCCAGCGGAGCTTGCGTGGCTCAACTAGGAATCAACCAAGAGGAGGGCACGACAAAGAAGAAAGTCGCTGCCGAATTCACCGCCGAGGCCGTGGCCATGCAGTAGGCCACGCAACACAAGGCTGTCGTCAACCAGAACGAGGCCATCCTCGCAAAGGCCATGCAGGCGGCGATGACGCAGACCCTCCTTGTTCTAGGGTTGTGCCAACCCGGACCGGCCATTCTCTCCGCTGCCACCATGGCAGCGGTGAGCACAGGCTCGTCAGCCGTTTGCCCTCCGCAGTACCAGTCGTCGAGCTCCACCAAAACACCAGAGACGCCCGGGTTTCATCCGCCCGGCAGCGGTGAGCACAGGCTCGTCAGCCGTTCGCCCTCCGCAGTACCAGTCGTCGAGCTCCACCAAAACACCAGAGACGCCCGGGTTTCATCTGCCTCGACTGCATGGCTAGACCCGGTTCTCCACGTCGCTGGACGACAACGTGATCGGGTCGGCCACCCCGGCTTTCATCGACCTCAACATCACGCCTGGGTTCAGTGGCGCTGGCCAGTCGTCCGACAGGATGCAAAGGAAGCAGCCCTGGTCGGTTCCTATGGCCAACCTTCCCACACCCGCAAGATGTTTGACGAAATGCCAATCCCGACGGCGACAACCCTAGCTACACCGCGTTCATGGAGAACGTCATCTACGAGGGTTGTGGCCAAGCCTTCCACGTCGATGGCCAAGGCCATGCCTACGATTCCGACGAGACCCAAAGCCAAGACGACTGCGGCCAAGATGGTGCCGACCACTTCGATGCCCATGAAGAAGAAGAGGCCGACGGCCATGGCAACTCATGGCATGAAGATGATGACATGTATTGCGCAGATGAGGAAGAAGAGGTCGACATTGCGGAGGAGCCATTGTTTATGGATGTGCTCACCCAAAGAGCCGAGAGACAAAGGAGGAAACAAAGCATTCACACGGGATCATACAACAAAGAAGCGGGCACTTTGATTTGCGCGAATTGGATGGAGAATTGGAGATAGGCCAAGATCCCAAGACCGGTGCCGAGCAAAAAGGATTCGTCTTTTGGACGATATTTTTTTTGTGGGGTAAAGGGAGATTTCTATTAACTCAAGGTGGCAAGTCAGCCACTACCAGTTTTACAATGTCGCTCATACCCGAGCCCAACCAAACAGCAGTACGAGGCGTATTTGTACCATATACAACAGGAGCATGGTTTACTTTATTCTGCGAGCATCTAATAGCAGTAATCGAAATCTCCCTAGGATCATCCGCAATCAGCCTCTGGATATCCGTGACGACTGCACGCGATTGTGAACGGTCCACAGACCGAGCGTTCAACATCATGACCGCTTCAGTGATGTCCATCTCCACCACAACTGGATGATAGTTCATAAAACCTTTCATGAGCGAAGGAAGTTTGCGCCCTACAAGTTTGCGAGCACCGGAGGCCTGCACTACGGAGGCCTCGGCCATGGACTATGGCCGTTCTTTTTGAAGGCTGGCAAGTGTGCCGACCGCTAGCTTTGTTGTCGGCGAGAAAACTTGTTCATTTTGAAGGCTGAATAGTGTGCCGGACGTTGACTTTGTTGCCGGCGTGAAACTTGGGGCTTGACCATTTTGTAGGCTCGCATATGTTTACTGGCCGCTGGCTTTGTTGTCGACATGAACTATGGCCGCTGGCATGAAGAGCTACGTCCGCTGACAAAATTACATTTGCAAAAAATTGCATGCAATCGGCCGAGATGCGTCTGCGCATTGGACGCAGGCCGGCGCATCCAGAAAAACGGCCAAATGTCGCCCATTACCAATCCAAACGGATAAAATCCGGACAAAAGGGATGTCCGTTTAGGGTCGTGCGTTGGAGTGGGCCTTTAGAGCAACTCCAACGGGCCGACCCAAACGGACGACGATTTTGTCCGCTTTTTGTCCGTTTGGGTCGGTCGCCCGCCCGGCGTCCGCCCTGTTTTAGATTTGGGTCGGCAGTGCGCCCAGTGTGCCGACCCATATCTGCCGGCGTGGCCGATTGGCCGCCCTATTTCAACAAATAGCTCATTTTTGCATTGCTTTTGCATTCAAATAACATAGTTTCAACCGAATAAAATAGCATAGTTTTACAAGCCGAATACAGGTAAAAATGTCTCACATAGTTTTGCAAGCCAACGAAGATACATCTATTGGTTGCCAACATGAGTCCACATATGCTCAATCAAATCATTTTACGGTTGCACGTGAGTTTCTCAATCACGCATGTCATGATGGAATTGAGTGAATTGTTCAAACATTGCCGCCCCTCCATGCTCAGGCACAACATTCTCA